TATTTTTGAATATCAAGTACAAATTCTCTTTACAGTGGAAAAAAGATTAAATTAAAATATTTTAACAGGAAGTAAATACTTGGGTACAAAGCGGTTCTTGCTATCAACAAAAACAGTAAATACAGCAGAGGTAAAAACTAGTAGTAATTGTTCAAATGTTAAACATGCCTTTGCAGTGTCATCTTAAAAATTATTCTAACAAAAAAATAAAAAGGTGACAAATAAAATCACATTTTGTCTATTTTTTTTTCTCCACAAAATGAATCAAGTACTTCTTTCAAAGATTGGTTTTCCAAGGAATGTTGAGCATAAAATGAAAGGAAGTTTGTATATTTTCTATCTCTAAAGGGCAGTAAAGGTATGTCCAAATTTGTAAATGTATGCTACATGGAGGTTCTGGAGATGGAAGATTGCCTAATTCATCTGACACATGGTGGAGACAAGAGACCTGAATTTTGTATTTGGATTAGACATGATGCAAAGATTTAACAGATCAGAAAAATTGCATAGATAATGTTAATATTTTATTTACTCCACAAAGTCACAGTGTGACTAAAAATATGATGTTTCAAAGTCAACATTGCCATAATCACAAAAATAGAATTTGCTGTATTCTATGCTCAATCCTAAATGCAAAATATATTATTTGGTTCAAGACACGGTTAATATTACTGTCACTAGAGGGCTACAAACTGCGCCCTCTACAGCAGAATCCTTTTCTCAGAATGGTGTATTTTGAGCATCAGATATTGATGGCCGACAACAAAACTGTACACCCATACATACATGGAATGCCTGAGGAGGCATTATGTATGCGTTCAATGAGAAAATATGATTTTGTTCGGGAAAAAATAATAGGCACAAGACTTGACATCAGAAAAATGGGTGAGTTATATGTTCACGGGGATGTCAAAAATGGGAAGCAAAAATTGTCTGATTTTCTTGCCATCTTTTTAATTTTTATGTATGTGGGAAGCAGCTGCAGTCTTCTACTCAAATAAGAAAGTCACTAGAATGAAAAATAAATGTCAAAGAATTCACTGTGGCTTTGACTGTGACTTTGAATTTGTCAACGTTAATTTGGTTATTATCCTGGCTTCTCTAAATTGTCGATAGTGCTTGAACCTTACGGACGACGTCAAAAGATCAATGTCGGATAAAAAAACTTAATTGCTTTGGGTGGGGTGGGATGGGGTGAGGTGTCTGCGTTGACCTAGAAAGGTTTCCATCCTACAAAAACGATTTTATTTTTTAATTAAGTCAAAAAATTGGAGTATTTGTAGTTTGTTTTTTTTCCTATCCAGTGGACAAAAATAAAAGAAAATAAAAAAAAAACATCCAAGACCAACTGCTATGTCATACTACTGTCCAATTATCAATTTGTATTTAATGGTGAATGTAGTCTGTGACGCCATTATCAATATTTATTAATTAAGTTTCAGTGAGGGGTGGGGGGAACTAAAGGAATTAAGTTTTTTATCCTACATTGAACTTTTGATGTTGTCCCTTAAGCATCATAGATATGAAATTGTTTAATTTCATTTTTTAATGTACATGCCCACCAACCAACCAATCACACAGTGGTATTTGAAGAACAGGTACAGACAACAGCCAATAGAGTCTGCTTTCACAATATGCTGATAAATCCTGGTCAAACTGGCAAACTAACTAGTGAGAATTTTAAGATGACTTGAATTACTCATTTTGTACAGATAAGCTCGAAGTCAATATTACACGTTTGCATTGAAGGCCAACAGCGATAGTTTACTACACCAAATTGTGGAAAACCTAATAATTGAGTAAAGAAAATATTAGTTTTTTTGCTAAAAATAAGCAGCGAAATAAATCAGAAGAGAACAGGAAAGAGCAGTATAACATTCTGCTTTTTCAGGATCAGTTATAAAACCACCTGATTAAAGTGATAATAAAAAAGGTTGTGTATTCAACTTGCATTTTCCCACAAGTCTTGTTTTTGTTTTTAATATAAAATGTTTGTTGTACATGTCATGTGATAAAATACATGCTTCTAAATGATGTTTGTAATATAAATTAAACAGAATCAAAACAGTCTGAACAAAATCTGTGTGCATATTTACACAAAAACATGAATTTTCAAATTTTATTACAAGAAAGTAAAAATCCAAAAATATTATGTGCACTGATAATAAAAACATCTATACCTATGGTTCAACCATGTAAAAAGCTAAAACTAAAAGTTAAATAAATTTAAATAATCTAAAAACCAAATTAAATGTCCTTTTACAATATGTAACAGCACCTATACCCGAAAAACTTTTGATCATTTTAAAAAATTACAATTATTTCACAATTTGTATCCCTGCAATATACTTGGTCCAACTCAATATAGTGCATGAAAGTGATCGTCTATGATGCAAAATGGTCTCATCTAGTTAATATTACTGTCACTAGAGCGCTACAAACTGCGCCCTCTACAGTTCATGATAAATGTTTGCACCACGCAAGGCACTATGAATACTGCCCTCTTGTGGTAATGTTCATCTCTTCCTACTGAACTGTCAGTGACAAGCAAATAATTATTTAATATTTCTAAATTTGGAGAGAGAAAAATGCATTCATTGATGAGAAGACATGTTCAATTGTTAGCATAGTATAGTATATTGCTTGCCCAATTATAAATGCATTCATTGAGTCACTGGGCCCCTTATGTAGACACTTTTGAATACCTTATGAATACATTACTTTATAAAAGACCCCTGAATTTTCACAACAATACGGCTTGTTCCTATGTACAGAATATTTTACACAAGTAATTCAGACTGACAAAAATAACAAGATTTGCACAAAATACAACTGAGACAGTTGCACAACTCTGTACAGTAAAAGATACCATGGCTAATAATGTTACTGGCAGCTGCAGCATCTAAATTGTTATTATCAATGCCATAATACAATAAAAATAATGTGACTGACTCCCTAGCAAGTTAAACATAAACAGAATATTCAGAAACTCTTTATTTTCAATCAGTACTAATTTACTCCTAACTAGGGAGTGCTTTTTTCTATATTCTTTGTTTCAGATAATGTAGCTAGGGTGTCCTTCACACTTCAATTTTCTCTAAATTCATATTTCCAACTAGAGAATCACTTTTAATTTTCGACACCTATTTTTTTTGACAGCATAGTTTTGTCCCTAAAAAACTAGTGTCTTCTCTTAAAGCGGGAGGGTTGTCACCTGATAAATTTGATAATTTTGTGATCAAAAAATATTGTTACAGTGACCACTTCATTGCAATCTTTAAGAGAATGAGCAACCAACTTAAAATTTCATTCCCTCAAATGCCTATAAGATAAATTTATTCTGCGACAGGTGATGAAAACTGACTTTAGCATTTGAAAGTTTAAGCAGTATACATAATGTATCAGTGATCCCCATTCCAAAATATTATTAACAATTACAAATTACAAACAAAACAACAAATGTTCAGAAATGATGACAAAGTTCAGGATTTTGACCAGATTTCAAACATTAAATACACCAATGAAATGATTGTATGGTGTAAATGTTACAGATGCATGAAAGCAATCCCATTCATCAGATTAATTTTATTTGCTTGAGTAATCGTTCATCAATTGCTCAAAAACATGATTATTTCACTGATGAAATATCTTAACAATACTAACATGTGAACAGCAATCCCATCATGCAGTGTACATCACAGAACCATTTCATCACTAGTTACATGAAATTTTGAGGTTTATTTGTTCGATATGCTTGTCCAAATGTAGACAGTATTGCTGCATCTAGACTGACAATGTATTATCAGGTCACCTTGGTTACGGCCTTGGTTAATTGATGCAATGCGTACATTTGAGAACACCTTATATTAGTAATCTGTAACCCTCAAATCCCTCTCTCATATATTTAATAAAAAATTCAAATCTATAAAAAGTTGCATAACTTTCAAGACTTAAATAACGACCTGTGATATGATAAGGCAAGACATACAGAGAGACATCTTGCATATTTTAGCTTTTTCAGGTAGTTAAGGCAATATTTGGGAAGAGTATTTTTGGAAATCTCTCTGTTTTTTTTATATAAAAGTACTGCAGTTGTTTTATTGTATTGCAAACTTACGATTATGCGATGTGAAAAAAAAAAGTAAACATTCAGACTATCAAGTAGTACATATGAATTATTATTATAAGTTGTATGATCAACCATTTCCCCATTGAAAATTTGTACACAAATTCACAAAATCTGTCAAATTTCTTCAATTAGGATCACTAAAAAACTGTCAAATATGCTCCAAAACTAATACCAAATTAATGAAAATATTGGAATAAGTGAAACAAGTCTTGGATTATGGATCTTGTTGAGAAAATGTGTTTTACATTTTTACTCCAGAAGACGCAATTATTAAATTAATAGCCAAGTTTTACATTTGCTTATCACAGTAATATAATTGCAGTAGATATGAAAAGTTGACCAAAGGATGCGTTACTGTAGAATACTTTATTTTCGCTTGGAAATTATTTTCACTATTTTCACTGAAGGGATGATTCTGTGAAAATAAAATCTAGTGAATATACTTTTTTTCCTATATTTCACATTAATCTCATCAAAAATCAGTGAAAATAAATTCCAAGCAAACCGCCCAAAAAGCCTTTTCAGCGAAAATTAATTCCAGTGAAAATAAAGTATTCCACAGTATTTTCTTCACAATCAAGTGAATTTAAAACATAGATCCTTGTAACATCAAATCCACCAGGACACTATATTGTCAGGTGAACAATTGTTATTGCTTTCACTGTGTCTTTGTCAATATAAGTAAGTTCCTTGTTCCTGGATAAAATAAATTGGATGACAATTCTGATTTTTTGAATCTTTATATAAATCATACTCAGCCATGAAATGATACCTAAATATCTCATCTTATAAGATGCGAGCAGAGACAGAGATGATAAAGTGACAAACATGAATTTATGAAGCCATATTTCTATATGGAAGAGCGGTGAAAACAAGGTCCAAATAATAAAGTTTATTTATGTATCAGACACAGATTTTTAATTTAAATTATTGAAAATTCATTTCCGGTGAACTGAACACATTCTGGGTGAACTGATCACATTCTGGGTGAACTGTCATCATGAACATGTTCCCATGACAACTGCACATTTGTGACATTATTCAGATAAAAATAATTAGACAACTGAATGGCTCAATAAAAGTTTGGTCATTTAAACTGCAGTGACATGTGAAAATGAGACTGGTGATTGTTTTAATTATAAATATATCTTTAACAGATTCTGAATTGATATTGATATGTATTTGTAAAAATAATACATTGACTTGGTCCTTTTATATGTTTTTTTTGTGGGGGAATTAGATATCATGTAGAAGAAAATAAGAAAAATTACACAGAAATTCATTATTATTTTGTTTTAGTGGGGAAAAACATTTTATATGGTTTTAGCTGTTCCTAATGCATAAACTTGAGGTGATCCCTGCCTGTACTGCGTAAACTTGAGATGATTCCTGATTTGATGTCTTCAACCATCACGCACTGTGTCCATATCATGCAGCTTCTTCTCGGCTGACGACCAGCTTTACAGGATTGTTCGTTTTCAACACTATGACAGCCTGCTGGTGGTCAACATGTCTGAAGTCGATACCGCTCACTTCGAGTAATTTATCACCAGGATAGATCAGTCCTGCTGCTGGACCTTCCGGTTGAACTTTAGTCACAAATATACCCTTGGAATAAAATTAAATTTCAGTCAAATTTCACATACTTCAGTTTGTACTTTGGCAACCTTTTTATGTTAGTCTGAGTTTATAACGTTATCAACATATAACATGATCTGATTCGCTGAGGTTGACCTTGATTTGCATAACATTTATATACAGCTGAATCAAACTGATTGGTTGAGTAAGGTTGACACATTTACATATCATTTACATACAGCTGAATCAATCTGATTGGCTGAGGTTGACATTATTTGCATATCTAAATCAAAGGAATAAATCTCAGTTACAACATATGAAAGGTGAACTAGAAACATATGTACATAATTTAGGTAATAACTTACAGGATCATTTGGTCTGAATGGATTTCCCTGGGATCCAATGCCACCAGCTATACTGAATCCTAAGCCAGGATTCTTTGATATCACATATTCATATACACTCTGCAAATGAAACAAAAAATATATCAATTTAAAACACACACAAATTCACTTAGTACAAAGTACAGCACCTATATTATGAAACAGTCTCTTTTAAAATAGTCTGGTGCTTACAGGTTGGTTGTGTGGTTCTCTCGATCTCTGTCTTGGTGAAAGTCTTGGATCTACCATCCCAGGCTGTGGTCTGAGTTGTTTGCTACGAGTCGGTGGTGAAGGCGGCATTGATCTATTACTATTCATTTGGGGACTTCCGTCTATACCAAAAAAATCAAAACAAGGTATTGTTGTGTTAAACAGAGCATCAAAAGTTATGTTACCAAATGTACCAAAGACTATATAGGATACACCAGGGTGGTAGAATCAGCACCAAAACTAGTTTACATACCTGATTCTTATTTATGATACTGAGGGATTCACCTTACTCTTACCAATGTGACTATACATTGTCATCCATATAAATAGGGCGTATGCTTTAATCTTTTCCATGTGACAAAGGGGTACACCTTATTTTTTTCACATATGGCTAAGGGGCATGCCTTATTGATAATAATGTGACTAATGATTATTCCATATTATTCATGTTAAAGGGTATGCCTTATTAATATCCATATGACTAAGTGGGCCAACTTAATTTAACCCATCAGACTGAGGGGTATTATTCCATATAAATATACCTGAAATATGTTATTACCTATATTCCTTCGTTGTGATTGAGGACTTCTACTAAAACTTGATGGAGATTCTGTCCTGTACGGTGATGGTGTAAAGACATCATCACTTCCAAGATCACTCGGTACATCATCAACCTATAAGAAAACATAAGGGATATGCAGTATGTCAATACTTGTCAACTTAGTATAGCGCCCTCTATCCACATGCAGTTCTCCACAAAAAATTAGTCCCGCAACCATGTCTAGTATGCTAGTAGATGCTTTATCATATTCATGTTATTTAAGGTGGACAGAAGTGAACATGATAATCAGGATTTTGGTTAACATCACATTAAGAGGTTGCCATGAGAACACTGCAAAGTATACACATAGACTGTACGATGTTCGTATCAACCGATTTAGCAGAGGTTGACGCGACCCCATACTGCCATGTGGTATTCTTGTGATTATCACACATCTTGAGAGATTATAGCCCAAATCGCATAAAAAAATGCTTTGCACTGCGTGAACATTTGCGTTCAGTGACAGGATTCAATTTTGTCAGGTACTATATAGCATTTCTGCGTCCAATTGTAAACAAACGAAAGTGTTTAAATGTGATGTCAATGAACGTTCCTTTTTGATGATGTAGTTCAACCCATATAAGGAAAAGGTTGAAAGTTCAAACGAGTGCTGATATGTTTTGGTACAAGAGCTGATACAACTTAATGACAAAAAATCAAATTCTATTGTTTTTTGGTGCCAGATTTATAATAACATGCATTATTGCATACATTACTAGCACTTTTAAAACGTTGCAGTCGTTCGGCAGCATGTGTTTCAATTTTATGGTAAACAAATGTGTTTTATACGTCATATGGCAACCATACTGAACATGCACATTACAACAATAAATTAATGATAAAATGATAGTTTGTAGCAGCTTTTACAAACCATTGCATTACACAGTGATTTCTAATGTCTCAAAATTATAGTCCTTGATTTGAAGCCATCTTCAATAAATATTATTTAAATATAATGAGTGGCTTCATACGATTCAAAAAACTTCCACTCACATCTAATAGTTGTCTTTGCTTCATCATTCGGAGTCGTAAATCGTTCTTATATGCCTGTGCTTGTTCATACCGAGACGGTGAACCGACGGGAGATTCCTGTACAATAGAAAGCTGGTCATTACTCATTACAACAACTCAGACATACACTTGAACTTGTACAACAAGATTTTAATACTCAATTTATTGAAAGAAAAATGGCAATTAGTCCATGGTTTAGTTGTCAATGGTGATAAGTCTATGGTTTAGTTGTCAATGGCAGCAAGTCCATGGTTTAGTTGTCAATGGAAACATGTCTATGGTTTAGTTGTCAATGGCAACAAGTCTATGGTTTAGTTGTCAATGGCAACAAGTCTATGGTTTAGTTGTCAATGGCAACAAGTCTATGGTTTAGTTGCCAATGCCAACAAGTCTATGGTTTAGTTGTCAAAGGCAAAAAGTCTATGGTTTAGTTGTCAATGGCAACAAGTCTATGTTTTTGGTTGCCAATGGCAACAAGTCTATGGTTTAGTTGTCAATGGCAACAAGTCTATGGTTTAGTTGTCAAAGGCAACAAGTCTATGGTTTAGTTGTCAATGGCAACAAGTCTATGGTTTAGTTGCCAATGGCAACAAGTCTATGATTTAGTTGCCAATGGCAGCAAGACTACAGTTTAATCAGGAGATTTAGTTGGCAATGGTGGCAAGTTTTGAGAAGACATAACAAAGTACATGTTGCCAAGATATCAAAATGAAAAATGTTCTTACCCTAATTGAATGATCAGCTCCTTTTCTATCAATATGTGACATGACCTGCTGCCTCCAGTTATTAGATTGATTACCACCTGGTTGCCTCGTTCTCATCGCTTGATCATAACTTGGTATCTGTGGAGAATGGCCACCATTGTCACCTGGTCTTCTTGTCAGCGGTGATGGTGGCTGTGGACTTCGAGATCCTATTTTCACATTGTCTAATCGGTTCAGTATTTGACCATAGTTTCTAATAGAATTTCCATGTGCAGGACCAAACTGAGGAGAATTCCTGGTCGGGGAACTCCGATTGCTGTGCGTCTGACGGTACATTGACCTTTCCCAGTCAGTTGAATAACCTGACGGTCGATCTCTGTCACTTTGGTAACCTGAATATCGTTCCCTGTCACTATAGTAACCTGAAGGTCCTTCCCTGTCGCTATGATAACCATTCTTTAAATGGTTTGCCCGTTCTCTGTCACCATTGTAACCATACCTATCTCTGTGACCATAGAAACCAGCACGCTCCATATCACTGAAATAACCAGACCTTTCCCTATCACTTTGGTAGCCCCTTTCCCTATCACTGAAGTATCCTGACCTATCTCTTTCAATGTACCCCGGGTATTTGTTTGGATAAGGAGATCGTTCCCTGTCACTTCCATATCCAGATCTGTTGTCACTTGAATAACCTGATGTCCTATTTCTAGGAGAACCTCGTTTGCAATCCACTGTTGCATGATAACTTGGAGGGGGATACTGTTTTCCCCCCAATCGTCTATCTGGATAGTTAGGAAGCGGCTTATCTTTCAAATAAGTTTCTGCATAGCAATTCATTTGTACTTCCGGACTATCCGGACTTGTTGCATCACTCCATCCTGGAACTGGAGTCCTTTCCATGGTATTCCGGGAATTCTTCCCGTAATTTTCCCTATTAGTTCTATTGTTACGATCTGAATTCATGTTGTTTACATGTTTTTCATGTTGTTTATTATTCTCATTTATGTTAACATTTTTATTCACAATATCCAGCGTTTGTGGTCGCTCTGGCAACCGCGGATCTCCATTTCTATCAGTGTTAATGATTTTCTGTGAGACAGGCTCTGAAATCTTCTTTGGTGAATCCATCTTTTTAGTGATGGACTGTTCGTAACTGGGTAGCGTATTTGTTCCGCTTGAACTCACAGTTTTCGTGGGGCTTCCCATTGAAGAAGGTAAAGTGTTTGTTTTGTTATGAACCTGAGAATGCACAACTTTCACTGGGCTTCCAGTTTTTGTAGCTCGCTTCACTGGACTGCTGCTTACGCTTCCATTCGGTGGAATTCTTCTCGCTGGGCTACAGTTACCTGAAGACTGCTTTACTGGGCTTTGAATTCCAGACACAATTTTTTTCGGGCTTTCATGTGGCAATGTAATTTTATCAGAGCTTCCACTTGGAGCCGGCAAAACTGTTGTTGGACTTGTTGGCGACTTTGTTGATGATCCATCCGGTAGACTACGCACCGGACTACCATCCGGCAATGTTCTAATTGGACTATTATCCATAGGTGATGTTGACGTCAGTGGTGACCTTTCACCTGGGCTACCTTTGCCGCTATCGGGACTTGGACTATCCCGGTGTGGTGGCGCTGTCACAATAGGTTGCTTAGCGGCCACCATTATGTCTTCACTGTCATCGTCATTAATTGATCTTCCTGATGTACTGTGAATCATCTGCAACAAAAAAAAACACTGTCACCTCAAGAACTGTCACCTCATGAAAAAAAATATAACAAGACAAGAAATCACACATAATTTTATGCAATTCAAAAACCAATCGGAGTATTTCATGTTTGTTTTCATTCAGCAACAGATTTGACAGAAATATGACAATCACTGTTTAACGAGACAGGTACTGAAGTACTGAATATTATATTTAATGGCAGACTATGTGAACATTTAAAATGTTACTCTCATTGTAGATAGTAATCATTACCTGTTCAAAATAATCAGTAACTGATCAAAATAATCAGTAACTGATCAAAATAATCAGTAACTGATCAAAATAATCAGTAACTGATCAAAATAATCAGTAACTGATCAAAATAAGCAATGGCTTTTATTCTATAGCATAGAAGAAAACGTAAGGACAGAATATAGGAATATGCCCTGCAGAGAATCCTAGCATCTGCCAAGACGTTCTTGCCAAAAAACTAATACTATTCAGAACTACTACTGCACAAATTTTCCCATCAGACAATATCATGTATTAGTGAGAGCTAACATTGTCACTTAGTAAATGAATTGCTGTGCAGACCAAGACGGCCATCCAGAACATGATGAGATAGAAAGAGCAATAAAACCTGTTTTTCCCTTTGAATAATGTTACATTCTCTCCAATTATCACGTCTTTGTATTTGGAAAAACGATCATGATGATCCAAGAGAATTATTATTCATGATAAAAAAAAATATCATTGCTCGCATTGAGATATCGACGGCTACTTGCTTTACATTGATTTTTAATAATGTGAGTAAATGAGGTAAGCTATCCAGGTTTAAGAGTGTTGGCCGCACTGCATATGCTCAAATTTAATGTAAACTAATAATGTATTTTACGCCCATTGTGTACTTCGCTATGAGTCCCATCGAACAGGATGCGATGCGATGAACACCGCCCTCTAAAGGTCATTGATTAGCTTACCATTTCCGGTTTTCTAGACGGTGATGAGTTGGAAGAACTCAATAGACTTCTTGTCGGCGATGTATCACTCTCCGTTCCCGTACTATCCCGTGACCCCCTTCGTATTCTTGCCTTGTCTTTGGCACTTTTTTTCTGGGAAAAAAAACGAGGTATGGCGAATGACATCAGAATATTTCTAGTAGGCATTGAATATTTGTAGAATTGTACTGACAATAATGGCAAAACTCTTGCATACTGCTATATGACAGGAAAAGTTACACATAGATACTACAATGCATAAACAATTACCTTATCAGCGTTATACAGATGGTGCCTATCATGAAGTGGTGATGATGGTTTGCTAGGTTTGGTTACTTTCGCTTCGCCAATTCTGATATCGGGTCCCAGTCCTAGTCTGTTTGTCTGGAAGTGGGGGTAAAAATAGTTGTGTATTTGCAGCACTCATATTCAATATAAATTAAACCATTAGAAGAGGGTATAGTAAACATAAGATATTAAATTAGACTGTCTTCTATTTAAATCTACTATGCATGTGAAACAATTAAAAAATATTTCTTGAATGAAATATCACTCAAGATATCTAGAAGCGGTGAAAGGCTTGACCACTGACCTCAACTGCTGAGTAACCTGGTGTTTTATTATGACCCCTTCGACCATCCGGAATGTCTCCGTTAGGCTGCGTCAACACTAATCTTCTCGGTTTATACGGCTCTTTTGGGAACGGTGTCGGTGACCTTTTATATGAACGCTGTAAACGATAAATAAAATATAAACAGTATTTAGTGTTTATTCACAATTTCTGTACCATTTATTTGTATTTACAAATTTTTGATTAAGACTTCATGAACAAAAAAGAGATGGAAAATATTTATCAAGTTTAAGATTCAATATTTATTTTCATATAGGCAAACAGACAAACAAACAAACACAACGATTCATCAAACATGAATTTTAACATAACTGAGCATGAACTGGCAATGAGAACATAAACTGAATGGTCGGCAGTGAATGAGAAGAATTTAAGCATTTTTTTTTTCATAATATTCATAATATCAAACCAGTAGAGGGTCTATGGTCAAACAAATGAAACTCGCTAAGACATCATTTTAAAACTAGACCATTCATAAAAAACACTATTCATCTGTTATTTTTCTGTCAAGAATAAATATGTTTGTCCTTCAAAATTGTTTGTGACATTTTGTCACATATTACAATGTATAATAAATTTTTAAACACCGACAAGATTTATCTAGTTCTGTCTTTTTTGCCAGACATTAGGATTCAAATCAAGTAAACACACAGAACATTTTTAACTTTGTATTAAACACAACTTTACAAACAGGGTGTATACTAACATGCAGAATACACTACATAATAATACACTACATAACATTATACCACACATCAATATACCACAACCCATTAAACCACATACTAAACACTACACGTTTTTAAATCACAAATGAACTAGGCCTGAAATGAATGGAGTGAACCACATTACATCAAATGGTAACAATGGCAACAAGGTACATTCGCGACCTTACCTTGATCTTCATTGTCTTGAGAATAAAAAGAGAGAAAATATTTTTTCGTTTTAGAAATGAGTCTGGAATTTTATTTAACATTTTCTCTGTAATTTTGACATTTAATCCTCAAAACTAGTACTGAGAATTGAACAATAAATGAACACAATAACACTCTTTCCGATTTGACTTACTTTACATTCAAATGAAATGCCCATTAGAACACCAATAATAGCACTCATTCTGAGTTAATGCATCTGAACACAAGTTGAACACTCATTTGAAAACATACATTGAATTTGTTACACTTATCTGAACAGGAATTAAACACTCAATGAAACACCACAAATAACACTGCCGTTTTCAATTTTACTTACCTGGGCAGATATATTAAAGTTGTATTGTCAACAGAACTTAGTTAAATAATTTTGAGTAATTTGACCAAAAAGGTTATAGTATTTGCAAAATATACTAATCCAAAGCTGACATGTTGCGTACTAAATCAAATTAGCTATTTATTGTCTCAAGCACAATAAATCCCATCATGCTTTGCTGTTTGAATTCTGTTTTGGGTGAGTGCAAAACACAATTAACCTAAGAAGTATACAATGTTTGAAGTTCGAGTCAACTCAAGATTCTGGTTTGCATCTCAGACTAATTTTATTGAAAATGCCTCGTATCGAATATTAATTTCGTTACATAGTCCATCTTGTGTGTGATTTGGTGGCTTGACGACACCCTAGGATGCTGAAAGCTCAATCATAACAGAATCTAAGGAGCTGTTCCATGATATTCGCTTATTGGCAAGGCAATATCTTGTGAATCCCATAGCAGTTGCATTTATTACAGTACATAGAGTATTTGACATGTCAAAGGCTTCAAAAAAAATTTTGCTGACAATTCAACTTTATGCACTTGAGCACAAACACACAAACAGTAATGCTGTCTGTCAGAATTGACACTTACCATAGTTGACTGCTTACCGGTACTTGATATAACAATACAATACAATAACAGTTTGTTTTTTTCAGTACCCGTATGATTAAAAATTGTACAAAAAACACAATTGTAACGCTAATAACAATTCTCACCTCTGACTCTGAGTCGTTGACATCGAACATAATCTGTTTTTTTGCCCTTCTTTCTTCTTCCCAAAGTGAGGGATGAAAACTTTCTCCATCACTAAAATAAATTTCTGAAAACAGCAAATAAGAGCACTATTAATGGGACAGTACATACAAAGTGTCTTCAAAGAATTTGTCACAAACTTGTAATTATTTGTAGTTTTAAAAATTGTTCAAAATTACTATATAATAATTTTGTCAAAAACAAAAGTATCGGGATGTCAGACTCTGAGGGCTCATGTTCATATATTTTTTAAAAAATCCTGTAGCACTCTGTAGGGCGCTGTTACTTCATTTGTTCGAAGAGCCCATGCATTAATATTTTTACAAGCAGATATGAGTTTATGTTACCGTCATCAGGAAGCCTTGGTTGTTGTGGAAACATGAAACACGTCAGTATCCTGTTTTGATAGTATTCATCCCAATCTGTTTGAAGTGGTATCAGTGGTTTAGACTGTAAGAAAGGCAAATAATTCAGCAAATGTGCGAAGCTAAAGATCCGTCACAGACATTCAACTTATTAAACGGAGGCAACAACATTTCCTATTTTTGTTTCAAAAGGAATACAGAATTATTAATTTGGACACAAATCTGCCAACTTTGTTTGTGTTTAGTCAGTGCAAACAATTTCTTTTCAAGAAAAACTCCTGAAATTATTTTTATAGGAGCTTTATTTCATAAAACTAAACATTATGTCTTTATTTTATACCCATTTATAACTACAAATAAAGTTTGCTTTATACTAACAATTTCTGTTTGTTTTTTGATAAAAAATTGTCAATATAAAAATTAGAGGTTACCTGGTTGTCAGAAAGCCACAATGCTTGTAAATTCTTTAATTTGCAGAAGTTGAATGGTAGATACTTGAGACGATTATTGCTAAGGTTGACAACAGTTAGCCGGGATATCCTTCCAAGTTCATCAGGCAACACTTCAAGTTTATTCCCCCGGAGGGAGAGAAGACGAATGTGAGAACAGCTACCAAGCTATAGAATACAATAGATTGCATGTAAATGACAAGTTTTGGATCTTCTAATCACTACAGTACATCCCACCAAAATATTTGTCACATGTGACCCCTAAAGGTCACACATCCTGGCATTATGCATGATCCCTAAAGGTCACACATCCTGGCATTCCCAAGCAATAATTACTGATTACCAACATCTCAATACCTGCCATGTGTTAAACAATGTTGTACGTTAAACAGCTTGCATTTTGGGAAAAATCAGGAAATTCTCATTTATAGCAAATCTGTCACAAGAAAGTACCAGGATGTGTGACCTTTGGCCTTTAGAAGTGATAAATAATACCATATTTGTTCTATTAGATGCACATTGACCAACAATCACATTTATTGTATGTTGGATATACATTATGCTGATCTACATATCCCTATTATTTACCTGAGCACATGTACTCCTAAGGCTATATAGGAATTATGCGCAAAGAGAACAATTTGTACATTTTGACAGTACCATCTTATTATTGTCATCTGTGATTCTGTTTTTACAGATCATTCATGTAATGTTATGTTCATCTGACACCAAAAATACACTACACATATCATCACAGTAAACTTACTAATTTGCCAATAGAAAAGTGAGTACTAATTTCAAAATACAAGAACATATAGCATCTCAAAAAAATGCAATATTTGAAAAGCAAAAACATATCAACAAAACCACAGACAGGTATTACAAAATGAATAAATATTATTGAAAAATGTATAAATCCTCAATACAGAACACACACAAAAAAATGTATCCTAAATCTTGCTTTTAATAATAATCTAATGAGCAAGTTTGCATTCCCACAATTATTGTTTGGGGGTATCTTCATAAAACTCACCTCGGATGGAAGGTCAAAAAGTAAATTATCATCCACGTTTAGATGGCGTATATTTCTTAAGAGTCCGATACTCGGTGGCAATTCTTGTAAATCATTCATGTTCAATATCAGTTCCTCCATAGATATCATTCCACCAATAGAGTATGGTAACATAGACAACTGATTGTCATCAACTTTTAGAGTACTTAGTTTACTGAGTTTACCTGCAAATAAAAACAACAAATATTTAGGTTTGTGTCTTTCCCTGACGCTTTCTAGGAATGTAGTGCATCCTTTTTCAGAAAAAGGCTCTAAGTCTAGACAAGCATGTGAAAGTAGCCATGGGAATGAACTTTGACCCTTTGCTGGAGCCCTGATTTGCATATCCATTGACAACCTATTAAGCCTCATTTTGAAGCAACAAAGCTTCCCACAATGCAATATTAATTATTTTAGGAATTATCTCAGAATAACCGCACTTACCGATACTTTCTGGAAGCAGTTTGAGACAATTTGTTGATAAATGCATATCTGTGAGGGACTCAAGTCCATCCACTTCCGGTGGCAGAGATTCTATTTTATTTTTGGATCCATCAAAATACTGCAGTCGCTTTAAGTTACCGATAAACTGAAACAAAAGCACAAACACGTTATCATCAGAAATGTTCAAAATATAATAATTTTATTTTTAATTTCAAATCTGTCTGCTTATCAACAAGTAGAATACAAAGTTTATCGCTATGGTGATGAGATATACTTACTGAGGGTATTTTTGAAAGAGTATTTGAATCTACCCACAATTCTGTTAAATTCACAAGTGTACCAACAACTTCAGGCTGATGAACAAACAATAGAATATTA